TGGTGCCAGGGCTATAGTCCCCAAACCACCACTTTGATCCAGCGCTGATGTTGGTATATCAATTTGGATTTTTATTAAAACTTTTTATTAAAAGTTTAATCAGTGTACTCATAGATGATAGACTTAGCTGAAAGTATTCCTAATTCTGCACCAACACCTTCATGTAAACCGAAGCTGTTTGAATTAAATAACAAGCTAATACTAACTCCTGAAAAAAATATTCATGTTATCAAGGAGACTTTAAAAAACCAACCTGTCATTAAAAGTAATGTTGTTTGCAAAGAAAATCCTTCTAATGATTTTAATAAGCCTTGTCTGTAAGTTTAATCAGTTTTTATATTTATTGTCTGTGAGTGTGTAACATTTTTAATGGTATAAAATGCAATACCTAAAAAATTTCATTGTTAAATTTATTACTTTTATGTTTTATATATTATGCCTAATATTTTGGAACTTCATAACTGCTGAAATAAGATTTGGTAATTTCTGGTTCATGTAATTTCTGATGATATTTGAATTGAAAAATTCATGGCGAATTTTTTTTTGTTAAAGTTTTTTTTCTTTTCTGAAACATTAATTTTGCACCAAAAAATGCATAAGTTCTTAGAAATGTCAATCTAAATTAGCAGTAGTAAATGTAAAAGTATATTTTAAATTATATTTTATAAATTAACTCATGGAGTTTCTATCAAATTAGCTTATTTTCTATAGCAAATAGTAGAATAAAATCTATTTAAAAATGCTTTTAGTAATATAATTGTTTCCTGATTTTTCATAATAATTTTTAATTGGAATATTTATTTAAAAAATTAGCAAAAAGTATACAAAAATATGTAAATAAATGCATAAATAATGTGTAATTATGTATAATTATGCACACTAAAAAATAGCAGTTTAAAAGAATGTCAACAAATGTAAGAAACTGAAGGCACTATTTTATTACCAGCTGTAAAACATTGAAATATTAAGTGCGTGATGTTGCGTATAGATGGTGTTCCTGTTAAAACATGTGCTGTTGTGGCATTGGATGTTGTTTTGACAATTTGTGATAATTCAGTAAGTCTGTTGATCAATGACTGACACTTTGTCAGTCACTGATCAACAACATGGACGCCATGGATGGGCCACAGCTGCAGTTTAAAAAACATCAATATTTTCATGTTGCTAGTCATTTGTTAAAGGGATCACAAAGTGCTAAGACAAGTTGTGTTCATATCTTAAATAAACCTTGTAATAAAATAGATTTGAAGTTAATTAAACTCACTAAAACTAATTATTTATTGTAATATTAACATAAGAATTTTTCATTTTTAATGCTATATTGTTTTTGTGAAGGAAAGTTCTGGCTTGTTAATTTTTTCTATTAAAAGAAATTAGGTCTGATTAAAGCATTTATCTTTGAAGTCAATAAAAATAAATGCTGATGTTAAAGTTAAATAATATTTTAATCTTTCGGTTTTTTCTTTTTTTAATATCTAAGGTAAAATAAAACTTTTAAAAAAAAGATAAACTTCAACAATAACTTCCTAACTTGCAATAATATTTTTTTCAAACTATAGAAAGTTTTTAATTTTTTCTGCTGTTTTAAAGCAGTAAATCATATAATGCTGAACATTATTATTATTTAACAATGATATATTATGTAGTTACAATAAATAAATGTATGCATCTATATATTAGTTAAATGTTTGTACATGAGCAGGGTCCATGCATCTATATATTTGTTAAATGTTTGTACATGAGCAGGGTGTAAATAATATTAAATCAATTTGTTGTATGTCAAATGTCGATTATCGATTTAAAACTTAAAATTAAAGTTTTAAATTAAATTGAAATTAAGAAATTAAATTAAAGTTCTAATATAAGTTTTTATTGAAAATCTAACTCAGAATTTAGTTTTAAAATATGATAATTTTTATATAGTTTTAATTACAGTTTTTATATAAATTGTTTCACAGTCAGGGGTGTACCCTCATTGTCGTCCGGTGGCACAGACAATTCATTTTCTCAAAAAGCAACTGGTATTAAAAAAATGCATGTCAATAGCCCTGCAGGATGACCAGACAGTTTTTTACTTACAAAAGAAAGTTTATTAATAAAACTGTATTTTGAACTATAAAGATTTTAATTTATTTATAAAGATTTATTAATTATGATCATTTGAAAGAAGCCTTTAAAAAGCATTTAAAGTAGTATACATTTCGTTTAATAATGAATACACAATAGTGCATTATGAAATTTTACTAAACATAATAAAAAAAAGCCTTTTAATATTTCAAGGTGTGACTGAACTGTTTTTTTAAACGTTGTTCTTGCATTTTGAAACAGTTTTCTTCTCAATTTAAAATGAATTTTAAAATAAAAAAAAATTAAAATTTTCTTTTTATTCGAAATGCTAATGTATCATTTTTTTTAAACATTATAGTCATATTTTAAATCACATGAATGGGCAGTTGAAATTAATGTAACAAAAAACAATCTTAAGATGCATGTGAAAAAACATTATTAGAATGCATTTAATGATGCGCAGGTGGAAGTGTTTTTTGTTTTTTTTTTAAAAAAAAGGAAGTCTCAAGGATTGATCATAAATTAAACAATGCTTAACATTTAAAAAAAAAATTAGTAATCTTAAGCTCTTTTGCGCAGCAATTTTAATTAAAATTAATGAGCTGTTTTGATTTTTTATTAAACTTAAAGCTCTGCTTTAAGTTTAATAAAAAATTTTTTTACTTCTGATAACTTCTGATTTTTTTTTTTTTTTTTTGTTGATGACTGAAATTTAGAGTTGCATAATTTATGGGACGATCCCTTAGTATAATGAATCACAATAAAAGCATGTTTTAAACATTCAGTCTAATTTTCAACTAAATTTAATAAAAGATTTAGAGATAATAATAGAATCTTTTTCTTTTTATAAATCTTTTTTTTGTGATAATGGCTTTCAACTTTTTTTCTCCACATAAGGGATCCTCCATATATTTATGCAACCTAAAATATTAAAAAAAAAAACAGAAGTAGGATATATAAGGCTCTTTTATGCGGTAATTTTTATTAAACTTAATTGGCTATTATTAAACCTAATGGGCTATTAATATTAAAATTAATGGGCTATTTTCTTTTAAAAGTAAGACTCCACAAGGGAAAACTTTTGATATTTTTTTGTTTTGTTTATTGTAAAAGTTTGCATTACATAATTTATGGACAATCACTAATGAAACCTTTGCTAAGATTGACAAAAAAAACTTGACACAAAACAGATATAGGCTATGACAAAAACGTTTTATGTTTTAAGTTTTATGTTTTAAGTTTTATTTCTTCACCAAATTTTCTTTGTTACTAAAGTTACTTGACAATATGTGTAGGTAGATCATAAAACTTCTCAAAGGCTGCATCAGATATCCACTGTCCTGGTAATTTCTTAAGGAATGGCTGAGACTTTTCTTTACCTGTTTCCATGAGGACATTAAATTGTAGTTCTTTCTGTCACCAGATCCTCTTTTATCAATTGTTCAGATTCACTTGTTAACTTTATATGCTGAGGGCTATGTAGATTTTGTATCATCTTTTTTTAATTGATGCTAAAACTCTGTAAAAATTCCTAATAATTGTCCCTTGGCTACTTTCAAGAGCAGCTTTCCTGTCGCATGTTCTTTAATTCAAGGACATGCACCATTATGAATACTTTTGACAATAGACTTTAGTTACCAAGAGTTATTACACAATTAGAAAACTTATCATGGCTCATTGAAAGTCATTTATATGCTAAAATATGCTAAATGATGTCACAATGCTATATGCTCTTTCACTTTTGTGTTTGATATACACATAATTAGAGAAATTAGTAGACATGATAATAATAATTCTTTTAAGCACCCAATAATTACATAAAGTATAGGTAAAAGTATAAAAAAAAAACAACTACAACAAAAAATTTAATACTCTAAGAGTATTAAATTTTTTATTGTAGTTGTTTGTAACAAATAAAAAGTATTTTTTTGCATTGTTGTTGGAATGTTCTCCTCCATCAGAGTTCTAAATATTAATCTTTGTTCCTTTAAATTCTAATGTTGGAATGGTTGTTTTAAAATCACTGCAACATTGGCCTCCAATACATCCTGAGGTTTTGGAATTATAATTTTTTTACTCTCGATCATACATTGGAGTATGTTTATACCAACTTTCTTGCATGTTGTCAATACCTCACCCATAAATGATCGTTGATTGCTCATTAATGGCATCTGAGTCAGTATAATCGAGTAACATGGGGTTGTTTAGAAGCTTGATAAATAGGTTTAATTTGTTGTGAAAAAGAATGGCTAACATAGCGTCTACTTTGAAATAAGAATGCAGGTAATTTCTACTTTGCTTTGAAATATTAAAGAGAGAAATATTAAAGACAGATTGTTTAACTATACCATTGCTATTTAGAAACTTATTGCTGCTTCCACGCAGTTCTAATCCATATAGCAATGTTGGAACAGCTAAGGAATTAAATAAAAGCTTTTGCAACAGATAAAAATTGCGTTACATGTTCAGTTATATTTGTTTTTTGGAGTGTTGCTATCATATTTTTGTTCTTATTTTCCCAAGATGTTTTAGATTGCTTTGAGACTTGATAGGAGCACCATTAATATAAATAACATTATTTGTTTTATATTGAGCTTATTCCAGATATTAAAAATTTAGTTTTTTCTGTATTTAGTTTAATAAAATTGGATATTTCATACTTTTGAAGAATGTTAGTAATACTCTGAAGACCAGATATAATGGAACTTTGTAAAAATATATCATCAGCATACGCAATGACACCTGTGTGTATCCCATTTATTAAAGTTCCAACTTTTGATTCTGAAACAATTTTCTCTAGAAGATTTTCAGTGTAGATATTGTAGAGATGAGGCAACAGTATGGATCTTTGACGCACTCCCTGAGACAGCCTAAATTTTTTTGATGTACATCCAAGATATGATATATTAGAAGTACTGTTTGATATAGTAATAAGATTGCATTATGAAACTGTTAATTTTATGTTTAATTTTTTTTTTATATGTTAATAATATCAGACATGCTACCTTCTAGCAGTATATCTGATATTATTAGCATTAAAAAAAAGCTCCTAAATTGTGAAGGCGACACAATTTTCAAGTGTGATCAATGTTTTAATAGTGGTATAGCAAAACCACTATTAAAACATTGTTTTAATAGTGGTATTACCATATTATGTATTTTTTGTTTTATAGCATTATATGTAAAATACTGTATTTTTAACTATTGAATTTGTAGTTAATATTCATTTAGACAATGTATTCATTTAGACTTACTTCGCCAGCATTAAATTCTACAAATTTACTTATTCAACAACTTGAGGTAGCCCAAAATGCAATATTTGATAGTCAGGAAGCATTAGAAAAGATAAATAACACAAATATGTTACCTCAAAGAAGTTTGAATCATTTAGATTATGATCTATCTGACAGAAGGTATGGTCCACTACCAGCTATTAGTTCAGAAGTAAAAACAATGTTTCCGAGAACTCAGCCTAAGTTTAAAAAACTAAAAAATCCACCTCTTGTTGAAGATTTGAAGTTTTTAGCAGAACACGACACAGAATATGGAAAAAATGACTACAAAGTTGAGTTTGGGTGCATTGCAGGTGATACCATAGCAGGTGATACCAGAGCGGGTGATACCATAGCGGGTGATACCTTTGATTATTTATTTGACTTATATAGGAATGCAACATGTCTTTAAATTTTCAATATCTATTTTGAAGAAAAAGTTTTTTGTTTAAACAAAAATTTGTTTACTTAGTGACAAAGACATGGAAAAAATATATATATATATCAAGTTTTTAATTTAAAATTTGAAGATAGTTATTTTCTAGTGCATTATGTTTGAAATTATATATATTTCTATTTATATATTTTTTAAAATTATAATTATAATTAAAAACCTACTTCAAAATATTTGAAATTGAAAATGATAAAAAAAAGTCATTTTAGAATTTTTTTTTTTAGAAAAACAAGTTATTTGTATTTTTTTCTTAACCTAAAATACAAATACTTGTATTTGTGTTTGGAAAATTCATTTTATATACATTTTTATTTGAATTTGTATTTGAGAATCTAGATTTAATGTTTTTGTATTTAATCATTTGAGTTAAATAAAAAACAACCCTACTGATCATGCTTAGGCCATTATTAGTTTTTAAAATAACTCATAAAAAGATTTTGAATTTTGAATTGTTTTTTTTTTAAATAAAGATGATTATTTCTAATCTTTTTATTGAATATGATTGAAGGTTGATTCATAGCAGGAAAGTTAAACAATTTACTTGAAAGCTTTCCAAACAGGACCAGGCTTGTGGAGTCGACTGTTTTTTTTACGGCTCAGCTCCGGTTCCTTGAACTTTATGAACAAAAATTGCAAATTTTGGATATTTTTTTGATCACATTTGACAACCCAAAACTATACTAGTTACAGCAATTAATTTTTAACCAACTCTCATGATTACACGGTTATTGTATTACTATCACTACTCTACTCTACTACGGGATATTACATTTGAAAAGAAAAATGTTTTGGGTAAACAAAATATTTTTTCTATATATTATTTACCCAAAACTTTTTAATCTTTTTAATCCAAATTTTAGTTCTAATTATACCCAGGGGGCACGGTACCTACAAAAGGCATACAAAAAAGGCATCCTGTGTCCACTAGGTAAAACATGCTATCGTTAAATTTAAAATGATAAAATATATTTAAAAAAGCAAACAAAAAATAGTTTAACTAATGCAAAAACTTCAATATTTATTTTAATCTAAGGAACTTGAAGATTATATAAGTGCTTTTTATTATAATATTTTTCATTATTTCAAATAGCAAACACTTATGCTAACTGACAACATCAACTTCTGTACAGTGTCTTTTACTAATTTTTTCCCTACTAATGTTCACTCTCTAATCAAATCTTAGACTGTACTTATTGTTTGTTTTGCCACTCTTACGCAAATATCCTTTGCTAATTCCCCAAAATTTCTCAATGGGATGGAACTGTGTGCAGATTAATGGATTTAAGCTTTTTGGTATGAATTTGATGTCTCTCAAATTGTACCAATTTTCTTAGAATAATGACAAGAAGTAAGAATAGGCCAGAACTAACAGGGGACATTGTAACTTCTATAAAATTGCAAAAAAAGTCTAGCAAGCAAATATTCTTTGATGTAAACATCCGAGTTTAAAGTAGACATGTGACAAAAGCTCGAGATCTCAAACCACAGCTGCATATTGCTTGCCAAAATTTAATCTTTAAAAAACTCTGAAACTTTATACCTTTTGGCTTGTTCTCTGTTTGATAAGCTAGGATTTTGATTTTTCTTGATTGATCTTCCAGATACTTTTGCTCGTTCAATAGATAGAGAGCTCTTGTATTCTTATATGACCATACAAATAGTAGTTTTGCTAGATTCAGATGCTTTAGTGATTGAAAGTAACGATGCTAAAGAATTTGGTAGATTGTTGCGCAGACTTTTTTTTTGTTTTTTTCAAATGTTTCAATGACAATTTAATGAATAGAAAGATTTTGACTCGTTTGTTGATGTTTTTAATTAATACTATAATCACTTAATGTAATTATGCAAAAAAAAAAATACATTAAAAATGTGTTAGTGACAAGTTTTAAAATGAAATTCATTATTCCAAGTTTAACAATTGCATGCTTTAATATAGTTTTAAAGATATGAATAACCTTTGATCAATAAATCGTGCATCAAATATAACAGCATAGTATCAGTATAAAAATATAATATAAAGCAATATATGTAATAGTGTAATGTTTTTATATATAATTTACTTTTTTTTTTAATAAAGCATGTTAAGAAATACTATTAAAAAATAGTATTTTGTTGATTACAAAATCGTTAAAATAATCATTTTTATTACATTTTGGCAAGACCGTAACTGTTGTAAAGAATATTAAAAAAAAAAAAGAAATTCAATGTTGAACAATAAATGAATAAAGATATTTCTACATTAAAAAAAATAAAAATATACATTCTATTCCTTTAAAAAAACACGAGAGCCGTGAGCCGCTTGATTTTTGCAGCTCCACCAAAAAATAGAGGCTCCTCGGCTTGGCTCCTCAAGCCTGCATAAAACGCTAACAATTTCAATTTTGATTCAGCATATCTATGCCTTTTTTTTCAACTATGAAATTTGTGAAAATAAAGCATTTTGCAATTTTTGCAAAAATTGTAAAAATGAATTGTGAAATGCAAAAATAGTGAAGATAAAGCTTGAAATCAAATTTTAAGAAATTTATTAGTAAAGTTCTTAATCTTGTTGTCTGTTGAATTTTTAATAACTGTCTGAATGGGAACTTTTAATAACTGCTTGTGGGCTTGTGGAAATGTGCCTTCACTTTAAACCACCAGTAACCAAGGATCAACACTGATTCTAATAAGATTTTTTTTAGATTATGTTTAATAGACTTTATTACAGTAATTTCAGAAAATATAATAGCCAATAGAAAGTTATAAAATCAGAACAATGAGATTTGCACAAAATGCATTAAAAACAATAAAAATAGAGTTATTAATGTACTATAGTTTGTATTATATATTTTATTACAAAGTGTGCACTTTGTATTAGAATATATAATACAAACTCAGTTTTTAAATATCTTTTAAATAAGGAATCGTTAATTAAGTACGTATGCTTGGAGGGGAAGAGGGGTTTGCAAATGGCATATATGAGATGGGAGGGCAGTGGGTCAATTATAAAAGTAAGGGGACGCTAATATAAAAAAAATGTCCTAAACTGTTAGATAGGTAGGTTAAAATCTTGGGTACATTTAAGGATGTGGAGGATACTTCAAAAAGCATATAGCAAATGTGGGGGCAGGAGGGTAGGAAGTCAAAATAAAAACGTACGTATTTTATGGACAATCCCTAAATGCTTTAACTTTACCCCCTCCCCCTAATCTATCCATTTACTTTTTAAAATGAACATTTTTGTTCAGAATTTAGAATAAAATTGTAATTGAACAAATCTCTTTACACTGAATGTGTCTGAATGTTTGATGCATGAACTTAACACACAAACATACTAAATATACATTAAACATAAAAGTTGTGACACTGAGTTAGTAATGTTAGATTATAAAAAGATTGAATGTAAATTTTATAAGTAACTTATTAGATAAAAATGAATATATATAAATAACTTTAACTTTTATAAGTAACTTATTATATAAAAATGAAGAGGAAGACTTATTTTTGTTACCATTTAATATCATGATTATAACTTTTGTAAAATATTTTCCAATCAATTCACTATTCCACTATTTATTTGAATTTTATTTGATTACCATGTTCAAATTTAGATTACAACTTATACCAAGTTATGAGTTGACTTGTCAACACAATGCACAAGTTGATTATGTAATAAAAAAATATTATTACGTAATAAACAATCAATATAAACATTAAATCTTTTAAATAAATATGCTTTAAAATCAATTTTTTATTTAAAATTATATAAAATTATATTTTTATAAATTATTATAAATTTAATTTATTCGTTTAAAACAAATAAATTAAATTTATAATAATTTATAAAAAAAATCATTTTTATAAATTATTATAAATTTAATTTATTCAAACGAATAAATTAAATTTATAATAATGTTGTTATTTAGTTATGTTATTTATGCTATTGTACACATGTAATAATTCAGTTTCTTAAGCTGATAGTTCATAGTATCTACCGGTTGCTCATTGAACTTTTAAAGATGAAATTTTGCATAAATAGTGTGTTATTGGAATGCAGCAGATATCTTCTTTATGTGGCCAATTAAAATGTTTAAGGAAATAGACTGCTTCATGAACTTGATAAGAATATCCTAATTTTCTTTAGATATTTCAACAGTATTTCTTAAAAACCTTTTTGCATCATAAACACATGCTATATTAAACAAGTCAAACCATATGCTTCATTGTAGAAACATTTACTTTAGTATACATATTGTCAAATAACACCCATCTCTTCTATTAATTAGTTAATGATTGTGGTATAAAATAACGGTGGTTTCTTGTTCATGGAATTTTTAGATAAGTAGCATAACGTTCTTCTAATTTAAACTCTATGCAATGTAATACAATTGCATCATTTGAAATCTATTAAAAACGTATTCCTTTTATGTCTACACCAATCATACTTTTTCGCAGATTTATTAATAGGATCTGTTAGTGGTTGTAAACTGGTCTTTGCTACAAGTCTTTAGGCAGAAGCACCAATGCCTTTACACACACTTTTGACCATGTGATGTAGCAAAAAAAATGCCATTCTGCAGATACCTCATGATACTATCATTTCATCTTTTTTTCTTCCATATAGTAAATAACAAAGGGATGCAATGTTGCTTAACTGTTGTTCCGTTAGAAACTTTGTACTGTTTCTTGAATTAAAAAACTAATTTTCAGCAAAGTCACGTTATTCTAAAATATGATTATTTAGTAAAGTTATTTCTAAATACTGCAAATATGCTGTTTGATTTTTGGCTATATAGTGTCTTAGATTGTCTCTTAGATGGTCTATTTGTTGATAAATTTTTTCAACAAAATCATCTAATGGATCAGTTACTAGAACTATATCAAGTTTTTTGTTTGCTTTTTGCCACTTCTATAAGGTGACTTCCATTTTATTTTTATCAAACGTAGTAAGATTACCAAAACTTAATCTTTGTATTCATTTGATTAAAATTCATGAACTTGGTCTCTTTGAGTTTGATCTTTTGATCAATTGAACTCTTCTTTTTTTTTAGACAGTTCTGCCATTATGCAATTTAATAAAAAATTTAAATTGCAGCTTTTATTATTCTTAGGAAAGCAAAAAAACTTTTTTGATCATGTCTCATGAACTACAAAAGATTTCATGCTGACTCTGGTCCATTCAGCGTGGAGTGACTCCTATGTTATAATAAAGAATTCTCTAAAGATGTGAAGATGTTGTGAATGAATGTGTTGAATGTAAATGTAGATGTGAAGATGTTTTGCATGTTAAAAAGATATTTATACAATGATCTTTTACAAAACAATTGATGTTGGAAATAATTACTGTTTATTTGTTGAATGATGAAAAATTCACTCTTTGATTAAAAAAAAAATTATTATCAGTAATTTAATTCTATTTTTACTGTGTTTTAAGTTAATATTCATCAAAGATAGTGTCCTTGTTATTAAAAAAGAAAATTGACTATGAGTCCCCAGGAGACTCATAGTCAATTCTATTAAAATTCAAACAAATTCTATTAAATTTTCAATCCGAACTCTTAAGTTTTTAAGTTTCGAGTTTTTAAAAATTAAAATTAAAATTGTCAAATTGATGTTTTAAAGTTGTCAAATTAATATTATCAAGTTTCATTAAAAATGTATCAATACATTTTTTTTTGGCAACTCTTATCTTTCCATTAATAATAAGGGTTAGGGCCCATGACTTTGTTAAAAACAATGAGTTTGATAAAATAAATGCAATGATTTTCAAGGTCATGCATGAAAAGTCATGTAAGTAAAAAGATTTAATTAAATGTCTTCTTAAATTAGTGGAAATAAGTATCTGAAAATAAACTACTTTAATAAATAACTGTTATTAATGTGTTGCTTACTTATTGTAACTATTTATCAAAATTATAAAATAGATTTATATAATAAAAATAAAATTTTTAATAGTGTCTAATGTTTTTGCTATTTCATTATAAAATACATGATTAGTTTATAAATACGAACTATAATAAATGGAATAATAAATTTGCGATAAACTCATTGTGGAAATATAAGTTCACAGAAGAGAAAGAAGACACACATATATACTAATTAGCTTAGCTATAAAAAAATTTTCTATTATTGATTATGTTGCAACAGAGTTTTTTAATATATTTTAAAAATAGTTTTTATGCTGGTTTGTTGCTATTCTGTTTTTTTATAAAAATTTTCATTTCTGTAGAAAATATAACTCACAGAGTTTTGGAGCTTCATTTCATATCTAGTTGACCATAACATGTCCTTAAGTTGTATGTCTAGTCATGTTTTTTATCCTGGTTTCTTCATTTGCTTCTTAAATCATATTTATTTAAAATCATATTTAATTTTTAAAAAATAATAATATTATAAAGGAATATATATAAAAAATTAAAACAATATTACTAAGTGTAATATTGTTAATAAAATCAAAAACACAAAATGTTGTTTAATAAGATTAATTATTTATGTTATTCTTGCTTATTAATTATTTTTTTTATGATTTTGCTAGAAAGCTTCTATAATTTTTCACTAAGACATTTATAAATATATTCAACTTTTGAATCTAAATATCAGAATGCTTAAATCATGAAGACATTTTCATAAATATGCTTGACTTTTGAATCAAAATAGAATGATTAATTCAAAAAGGTTGAATTTTTTAATGATTTTTTAATGATGGCAAAACTGTTTTGCTCAAAAATATATATTTTTTAAAATAACATTTTTTTTTTCAGTATACAAGACAAAATTATTTTACAAACTTAATTTTTTTTTTAAATACTTTTATAGAGTTATAAAATTATTTATAGAATTTAGATATTATTATTGAGACTTTTCTAATTTGTTTAATTATTTAATAAGGTAAATCTTATATAAGTAAATTTTTATACATTTTATACAATATATATATTGTAAATCTTTATATAAATCTTTATAGAGATTTGATTATATAAACTTGTATAAGTATTTACTTTTATAATATAAAAAAAAGGTTTAAAAGAAAAAAAAGAAAAAAAGCTTTTTTCTTGATTCTATGGAACTTTTATTGAAACTATCATTGTAAGCATAGATTTATGTTTTGTAAAAATTTGAAAAAAAGTTAGATAATATATTTATTATTATGTATAACATTGTATTAGACAGTGAGAAACAGTGCAGAGACTTCGTGAATGATGGATGCTTTTTTATAACGAATTGTATAAATAAATTAAAAAAAAAAGGAAAGATAAAGAAAAAAAAAATAAAATAAGAAAAATAGTATAAAAATAAAGAGAGTGAAGAAAAGAAAACGAAAGAAATAAAAAAGCAAAAAACATAAACAAAAACTTATAAACCAAATCAAATAAACTAAAAAAAGAAAAAAATAGAAAAAAAAAGGAATGAGACAAGAAAAAAAAAAAGACAAAAAACCAAAGTTGAAAAAAAAAAAACATTCGAAAATAGAAAGTAATTAAAAAGAATTAAAATAAAATATAAAAATTGCTCCATTTTTATAGAAACGAAAAAGAAAAATTTTTAAATTTTATTAATTTTGAAGGATGATATGTTTGCTGGGTATTATGATATGATTTCCTTTTTTATTTGAATATTTTCATTTATTATGAAAACTTTCTACTTTTCGTGACTAAATGTTTGTGTGTGTGTGTGTGTGTGTGTGTGTGTGTGCGTGACACGTTTTTTCAATAAATATTTATTTATTGTTATTTTTAATGAAATATTTATATTACTTTTATTGTTTTTGTTATGATTACTGATATAAGGATTATTATATTTACTAAATCATTGTTACTTTTTTTGCAGTAATTGTTTTAGTTACATGTTGTTAATACATGACTGTTTATATTTTTCCTGTCTGTGCATAGTATACAATTGCTGTTTTAAAATTAATATTGGTTTCTTTTTATATAGTTTTCTTAATATTTATGTAATTCTTAATTTATCATCATCATTATTATCATTATTATTTTTATTATTAATACTATTTCATTGTATTTACTTAAGATAAGTTTTTAACTATTTGTAAATGACCTCGATTGTAAGATCTTCTGTCAAAATATATATTGATTGATTGATTATAATGTATTGTTAAACTGTTGTAATGTTAAAAAATTCTACAAAACATATAGCAAGATAAATTATTTATTAAGAACTTAAATTAGTTAATTATCTTTTTAGTTTCTTAAATTAATGGTAATGTTATTAAAGGCAGGAATGATTCTTACAAATATCAAAACTACATCTTATAACTAAATTAGTAGTTGTTGGGTAATACTTCACAATTTAAAACTGATTTTATCGTTATGAACAGATCAATTGTGTTGCCAATGCTGAAAAATTTCTAGTGAGGTTTTAAATATCATTGTGTTCCAAACTCTGAATCAGTGCAACTTCAAAGAAATTATTAAAAGTTTCAAACAAAATGGTGATTTAAAATGTTAAAATATAAGTATTAAGTTGAATACAAGTACATGGAGTGGTCAGTAAATTGTCTGCACTTTTTTGAAGGAAGAAAATTTTAATGCTGTTAAGAATTATCATTTATTATTAGAAAAAATAGGTAATGAATCTATTAACAAATTGTCTAGTTGTACTTTTTACTCTTTCTTTTTAACTTTAAAATTTTATAATAATTTTTTTTTTTAATTTTTAGATACTGTTCTTTGAGGTTTTGTGATACAAAAGAACTCACAAAATTTGTTACAAAAAATGTTTAAGAGTCTTGAAGCACCTGAAAATATTTTTTATTCGAAAACTGAGTGCGGGGCCCCAGTCACTAGTGTGTGTATATGTGTATATACACATACACACACATATATACATTCACACACACAGATATTGTGTGTGTGAATGTATATAAGTGTGTGTGTATTCAGCATATGATTAACACAGATGACATAAAAAAACAGAAAATTGCAGGGGCTTCAGTTCATACATCGGCTATCAAATAGCCTGACCTGCAACGAAGAGCTTTGAATATATATATATATATATATATATATATATATATATATATATATATATATATATATATATATATATATATATATATATATATATATATCAGCACATGAAATTAGGTTTGGCATTCAGCAATACCGACCTAGAAGTGTTTGAGGTCGGCAAAAAATTGCCAACATTTCTAAGTTTTATGGTAAGACATTTGTATCAAATTTTTTTTGCCAAACTAATGCTGACCTTTAAAAGAATGAGGTTGGCAAATTATTGCTGACCTCGTTTTTTTTTATAATTTCGAGGGTTGATATATATTTATTTATATTTTAAAGTAACTCACTTCTGACAAGTTTGAAAGCAACCACTTTTAAGTTATGATTTACTAGAAAACAAAGGTAAATATTACAGAGCATGAAAACTGAAGACTTGAAAATTTTTAGATTGTTTGAGTCATATGAATAGGCATGAGATTTTTAAAGTTTCGTTGATGAGCGTAAAAATAAATAAGTTGAATAGAATTTTTTAAAGCACATACATTAAAATGGCAGATACATTAAAATGATGCGGCTATGCTGAATGTTAAGCCAAGCAAAAATGAGTTTTGGATCAAACTAGAGATGATAGCTCATTTGAGAACCATGATAGTATTTGTAGGTTGTTACCAAATTAAAATATCATTTTTAAAATTGTATTTATGTTTATTTTTTAATCTATATAAATTGTGGAAACAGTTTAAGGAGGAATTAATTTTACATTTTGTATAAAACAAAGTATATTAAAAAAATTTAGCTGATTTATATAACGAAATTTCACTTAAAATAACTTGAGCCACTATCTCATTGTAGACAATGAGATAGTGGCTCAAGCTTGGCAGATAAACTGGTCCAACTAAATTTACAATGTCAGTGAAGAACCAAGACGTGTTTTAGTACCGTTTTACTGGTATGGGCGCCCAAAAAAAAACCACCAAAAATTATTTTTATTTTTTAATTTTTTTTAATTTTTTATGAAAATTAGAAAAAAAAATTTATGTTTAAAATAACCCATAGGAAATGTAATTTATTTATTCAAATGTAATTTTTTAAATTATTCTTAATAATTAAAAAAAATATTTTTTTAAATATATGTTTTTAAACATATAATATGGTTTTTAATCATAATAATAGAATATTTTTTAGATAATGTTTACTTTAATTATCTTTAATTTAAAAGGCGGCTTAAAATCACTTAAAAAATTATAACCTTTAGTAATAGTTAAATGAACAGATTTACTAATATTTAAATCATAATTTTTAAATTTAAAATAATAGAAAATAAGTTTATTAAATGCTTATGTTTTTATTCGAATAGTTTATTAAATACGTTTATTAAATACTTATCGAATTTGTTTATTAAATGCTTATGTTTTTAATTCAAATACAAAACGTAAAACTGTTTTGTTAATTTTACAAATATTATGTGATATATATATATATATATATATATATATATATATATATATATATATATATATATATATATACATATATATATATATATATATATATATATATATATATATATATATATATATATATATATATATATATATATATATATATATATATATATATATATATATATATATATATATATATATATATATATATATATATATATATATATATATATATATATATATATATATATAGACTCATGCCTAGCCTCTTCAATTTTAAGTGAAATTTCCTTATATATATCAGCTAAATTTTTTTAATATACTTTGTTTTATACAAAATGTAAAATTAATTCCTACTTAATCTTTTTCCACAATTTACATAGATTAAAAAATACAATTTTAAAAATGATATTTTAATTTGGTAACAATTTTTTAAAACTTAATTGAAAATTCAAGAATTTCTTTTTGATGATATACTTTTCTGTTTTTAAATATTTAAAAATTTGTTCTATCATGTATTTATGTATTTATTGGATTTTTATAAGAATTTAAATGAGCAATTTTAAATGACAAGACCTGAATGAGACCAAGGATTTCTGAAAAAAAAAATTTGAATGAGAGTATTCAAATTTTTTGAATACTCTAATTCAAAAAATTTGGTTATTTGTTTTATTTTATAAATGTATATATATATATGTATATATATATATATATATATATATATATATATATATATATATATATATATATATATATATATATATATATATATATATATATATATATATATATATATATATATATATATATATATATATATATATATATATATATATATATATACACACACTATAATGCATATAGATATACACTTAGTAACTTTTTAATTTGTTTAAGATTTCCTATATATTTTCTATGTTTCAGGTTTATTTGATGGAATTTGAATTTTTTTAGTTAAAAAAATTTGATGTGTGGTTTCAAGATGAATATAATAAATGGATAGTTGCAAAAAGTCTCCAATAGTCCAAAATAACTTGAAAAGATTTCTATTAGGAATTTTTCTTCTCTTGATTGTTGATATTATTTGGGTAGCATCAGCTGAATTAAGTGTTTATATTTTTCATAATGAAAATTTTAGCAAACCATTTTTTACAACATATTTTAAAACAGCAATGTTTTCTGTTTACCTAATTGGCTTTTTGTTTATAAAAAGATGGCAAGTTCAAGTATTTTCTGTATGTACTAACCCGAAAGCAACTAAAAAACTACTTAAAGAAGTAAAACGTTTTTCACAAGGAGATCGAGGTACCCATGGTATCAACACTTCAGAAAATGTATCTTGTACATCTACACCCATTGATGGACATATTACCCCACCGACTTTTGAAAACATGACAGAAGATGATTCTAGTGAACTTTCTGGAGAAATTCCAGTTCGAAAAGTTTGTTTTAATAATGTGCGTGAAGTGCGTTCACTTGCACACAAGCACAGTGAAGCACAAGTTTTAGCTCGTATGTCACAAAGTTCTATTAATGAATTGCGCAACATTCTTGAAGTTTTACATGGAAAACTAAGCCTTATTGAAACCATAAAGTTATCTTTAATGTTTGTTTTTTTATGGATTCTTGCTACTTTGATGTATCAAGAAGCTTTAGCAAAAGAATCTGCAGCAGTAACAAATATTTTATCTTCAACATCTGGTTTGTTCACACTGATATTAGCCTCAATATTTCCAAGCTCTTCTAGTGATAGATTTACTTTATCAAAACTTGTGTCTGTGCTCATTAATTTTGGTGGTGTTTTTGTTATATGTTGGTTTGATCCTAACAGACCTCCAACTACAATAAACTTTGGAGAAGTATACAGTTTGTTGGGTGCTTTATTTTATGCATGTTATATAGTGCTAATCAAAAAAAAAGTAGGTGATAGTGAAAAGCTAGACATACCACTCTTCTTTGGCTTCGTTGGATTATTTGGTGCTATTATTTTTGTACCAGTTTTTGTTGTACTTCATTTTACTAATTTAGAACCTTTTGAACTTCCATCTAGAAAAAATACTTGGAGTTTTTTAGTATTAAATGCTTTTATTGGAACAGTACTTTCTGAATTATTATGGCTGTGGGGTTGTTTCTTAACAAGTTCATTAATGGCAACACTCTCACTGGGTTTAATCATTCCCCTATCAATAACATATGATTTTTTAGTAAATGGAGTTAAATTTTCTTGGCCATTTTTATTAGGTTCAATACCAATTTTACTGTCATTTATTGCACTGACAGTACTGACTCATTATAGTGATTGGGATCCTGTCAAAGATTTAGTCTGTTTTTGTTGCTGCTGTTTCCACAGAAAAGAAGAAAATAAACCTTTGTTGGATAATAAAAACATATCTAATGATGGAAGATGTCTTAAAGATTGATTTTTATGTGTTTATTATTTTTTATACAATTTTTTATTTATGATTTTTTTTTTTTACATTTGACAATTTATAATATAAATAAACATTTTATGCAGCCCATCTTAATTTATTGGTAATAAAGCTTTTTTTAGTTTTTATATAAAAAACATGTTCTTTTTTATTAAATTAATAAAAGTTTTAATAATTAATCCAAAAAAATAAAATAGGTATAAACATATGATTATTATATTTGAATATGTTTTCCTAGGAAATTATTTACATACATTTCCTGTCTCAGCGATACTTCATACATCATGATGGTACTCACAGGTGTTTATAGTGAAACAGTGGTCCTCATACTGCTGTTTATAGTAAAATATCAGTACTTATAGTGGTGTTCCCAGTGTTCCCAAGTTTTAATGACAGTGATGCTCATGGTTTACACATTGGTTTTGATGGTTTAAATAGCAAAAAAAATTAAATCTAGAAATAATGCTAAAGAAAAATTAATTTTTACATTTTAGGTGTAGTTTAAAACCTAATTGTTATAACACACCGTTTACCTTTTTATTCAATATGTTTTATCATGCTTTGATATTAAAGATACTTTGTTATGATTATTGAGCAGGTTCCTATTCTTATGCTTTAAATAACACCATGCAGTTACAAGGTTTTTCAAAAAATGAGTGTTTTTATGTAAATAGTTTTTAAAGCCGTGTTGTAGTTAAAATTTTTTGTCATTTTTATTGCATTTTTTATTAATGAAAACCGATTTATAGTTTTTTAATGGTTTGATTGTAAAAAAAAACATTGTTGTTTGTTTCGCTTCTTGAATTTCTGAGTTAATTTAAGTCTAGTGAGCAGGGAAGGAAAAAATATAATTTAGCATTCGAAAATACAATAGATTAGCTTCATTTTTTGTTCTTAAAAATTAGCAAATAAGAGTTTCACGATCAACAATTAATGTAAGAGCTTTCAATTAGTGTTTGGAATATTTTTACTTTAGTTATTGTTTCAAATAAAAACATTGCTACTAAAGTTTTAAATTTGACCAATCAAAAGAGTGTCCAAACTCTTAATAAACAGTTGACCTGGTTTTTAATATGTAGCCATGTCTAATAATATTTGAGGTTGCTCACTTTCAAAAATTCTTTTTCCTGCTCACTTTCAAAAATTCTTGAGAGTATTTTTCCAAGTCAAAAAATTCAAAGCCATTTAATAACAGATTTTTTATATAAATTTTTTGCTTTCTCAACAAAATGAAAGCATTCATTAAGACGCTTACAAAATTTTTTGAAAAATTTCAACTCATTTCTACTAAATAGTAGAAATACTATTTATTAAAATCCTTTTTTATTAAATTTTTCAAAAAGTTTCTGCATCTTTGCATATTAACCCTCCCATTTATTTAACGCATAAGAAAAATGACTTCAATATGCTCATTGTTAAGAATCCAGTGTAGGATTCCATTATTATAAAAAATATGTTTTTAAAAGACATTGATTATAAATATTATTCAGAAAATTATTTTAAAAACATCTTTATTAGCATTATTAAAATTCTATTATGAATATTGATGTAAAGTAGGCAAAAAAAAAAATGTTTTTTAACTTACTAATATTGCAAAGCATTTGCAAGTTTTAAATATATTAGTTGCTTAGAGCGAAAAACCTAAATAGTCAAAACAACTTAGTATTTAGGCTCTTAGGCATCCATGCAGGTTGATTTACTATGCAAGATTTGTTTTAGGTTAACACATGCTTCACTTAGAACACCTGTCGATAAGAATCCGTTAATACTCATTAATATTATTTTGATTTTATTATATCTTGTTAAATATATGTAAATTTTTCATTTCAAGTATTAACATGATGCATAAAAATATTCTAACAATAAATCAAAGAATATGAGTGAGCTAACTCCAGATGAAGTAAGTTTGTTTAATAATCTACTTTTCATAGCAGTAACTTTTGAGCAAAACTTTAAAACTCATTGTTAATAGTTTTAACAACATTAAAAAAAAAGATGGATAAATGTACTTTGGACGGCATTGACAAAAATTACTAAAACAAAATTTTATGACAATATTTTAACATGACTGCAGGCTGACAACACAGATTTTAAAGTGTGGGAGAAGGATCATCGGTTTCTTCAATATCTTAAAATTTCTTAAAAAAAAAGTCCTCTAGAAAAAAAAGAGTGAATGTGTGGGGAGTGGGGGCTAGCCCCCCAGCAATACTGGTCTTAAACTGAACCCTCTTGCCATAAAAATCCTCTTTAATAACGCTGAACATCAAATAAAAAATTCCCTTAGATATCTTGGTAAACAATAATCTTAGTGAATTTGAATATGCTGGTTTCAAATGTGTAAACCATTTGCCTCTATTCTTTTCATATCTTTTCATAGTATTAAGTTTTGTATTTCAATGAATTATTACAAAACATAAAAAATTTAATTTTTGCACATAACTTGTATTTTAAAAGTTAATGCTACATGAATCATTAGGCATAAACATAAACATGACTATAGCTTCTGAAATCATATATAATATACATTATCATAAGATAAAGAGAAATTCAATTAGAAGTTTAATATCTGGAAGAAAAATGTGCTAAGACATGTTAATGGTTTTAGTTTTTTGCAACCAAGATGTTTGTATGCACGAATGCATTTTTTTTAAATTTATGTAAGCATAACTTATTTCCAAGAAAATTGCTTACAACTGACTTAGGTACCACCCACGCATCTTTTTAGTAACATTAAAAATGTTTTGAAAATGTATATCAACTAAAAAATTTTTTTAGTTGGACCTTGTGAACTCAACCCTGGAAAATTGTTGCACATGTACTAAAATGCATCAGTGTTGCTGTTATGCTTGACATACTAATGTTTGACATACAAAAATAAAAATCTGATTAGTGATCAGTTTGCTCACACCATATCATAGGAACTCTGAATTCCATGTGATTATTTCACTTTGCTTTCCTGATCCAACCACTCAAATTTCATGAACACATAAAAAAAAACTCAAGTACCCCTGACTTACCACAGGACCAGAAAAAGTTTAAAAACTTGAAAATTTTTTTTTGATTGGTTGATTGCCTTTCCAACCCAAAACTCTCAGTCAAGTTAGCCGCACTTCTTGCATGTTCTACCTATTTAAGTTAATCGATGTATAAACACTTCTGCCAATATAAGAAAAATAGCAGTATAAAATGGAAAATAATAAAAAATAAAAAAAATAATAAAAAACTTTTTGGTTGTTATTGCGGTGGATTGAAAACTGTAAAACTTCTGCAACTGTACTTCTGCAACTATTTATTGTTTTAGGATTTAAGCGACTATTAAATGTCACTTATTTGTTGTTGGTTGCTGAAACAATAAAAGTTGGAATTGAAAGAGACTTTTTTTTACCATTAAAGTTTCTTTCGCCTATTATTAAATTCAAAAGGTCTTGCAATGCAAATATATATATATATATATATATATATATATATATATATATATATATATATATATATATATATATATATATATATATATATATATATATATATATATATATATATATATACATATATATATATATATATATATATATATATATATATATATATATATATATATATATATATATATATATATATATATATATATCTGTGTGTGTTTAAACAATTTTAAAAATGTGTTCTACAAAATAGAGTGCTCAATGTTCTTAAAAGAACAATTATTAATTAGTGAAAAATCACTTAACAAATTTTTTTTTTCATTTTACACTGTTTCATCAATAAATACTCATCAGAAATGAATGATCAAATGAATAAAATTTCAATTTATACCAAAAAATTAAATTACAGAAAGTCGCAAATGTTTTAATTACTGTAAATTTTCACACATTTGTGGAATTTGCTGGCACTATTATAAAAAGAATTCTTTAGAAATGATTACTTACGCTTTTTAAAAAAAAATCTTTTTTAAAAGGGGGGATTTAGTGTAACTATTATTTATTTTTATAGTTTCTTTAGGAGAAACTTATTTTCGTGCCTGCACCTAGAAATCAATCCCGATTTTTTTGTTTAACAAACATTCTTGGTTTGAATGTGTATTTATTTCAAATTTTTCTTGTAGACATAGCATGCATTTTTTGGAAATACTGTTGTATGCTGTTTTGAGGATGGACCAATTCAGTATAAAATCATCAATATTTTTATCCTTTAGTTCTTATATATATTTTGACAGCATGGTGTCTTTTGAATATTTTTTATTTTAAAAAGATTGCTTATGACTGGCAAAACGTTAGTTCCCAACCGAAAGTGTGTTAAGAAAATTTTGAACTAAAATTTGACCCTGAAAAAAAGAATACAAAAAAGCGGAATAGAACTAGAAATGTAATTTCTAGTTCTATTCTGCTTTTATTTCCTCCATATAGCAAAATCGTTTCCACTAACATAGGAAAAGTGTTTTTAAAATTGGTCGATAAGCATTTCCCTCCCTCTAATAAATTACATAAAATTTTTAATCAAAATACAATTAAAGTTACCTACAGTTGCACAAAAAATATGGTAAGAATTATAAAAGGTCACAATAATGCTTTGTTAAATAAAAAAGAAATCCTAAATGAAAAAACTACAGAAAGTTGTAATTGTAAACAAAAAAACAATTGTCCAATGATTGGAAGTTGTTTATCAAAAAATGTGGTGTATAAATGTGTTGTTTGCTCTAAGAATGGACCCGATAAACAATATATTGGCATAACAGTGGGTGAATGGAAAAAATGTTTTGCCAATCATAAGCAATCTTTTTAAAATAAAAAATATTCAAAAGACACCATGCTGTCAAAATATATATAAGAACTAAAGGATAAAAATATTGATGATTTTATACTGAATTGGTCCATCCTCAAAACAGCATACAACAATATTTCCAAAAAATGCATGCTATGTCTACAAGAAAAATTTGAAATAATTACACATTCAAACCAAGAATGTTTGTTAAACAAAAAATCGGGATTGATTTTTAGGTGCAGGCACGAAAATAAGTTTCTCCTAAAGAAACTACAAAAATAAATAATAGTTACACTAAATCCCCCCTTTTAAAAAAGATTTTTTTTAAAAAAGCGTAAGTAATCATTTCTAAAGAATTCTTTTTATAATAGTGCCAGCAAATTCCACAAATGTGTGAAAATTTGCAGTAGTTAAAACATTTGCAACTTCTTGTAATTTAGTTTTTTGATATAAATTGAAATCTTATTTATTTGATCATTCATTTCTGATGAGTATTTATAGATGAAACATGAAAAAAAGTGTAAAATGAAAAAATTTTTTGCTAAGTGACTTTCTACTAATTTATATATATATATATATATATATATATATATATATATATATATATATATATATATATATATATATATATATATTTATATATATATATATATATATCTTTATATATATATATTTATATATATATATATATAATCTAATATTGCAAAAAAGTTTTCAGGTTTGAAATAAAATACTGCTTAAAAAACACTTCATGAAAGTCAAAATATCCAAGGCTTGTTTTCCAGTGTAATACATCACATAAAAAGTTTCAAGTGTAAAACATCACATAAAATTATAAAAATATTTCTTAGTTATTATATTTCATCAAGAATTTTAACTGTACTTTGCTATATTTTAAACCTGACTTTTTAAGTGAAAATGAAAAACATGTCATGTTACACTCAAGAACTTTTTACACTGCACAACAAGACACTTCAGCACAACTCACAAGACATTTCAGCTCACAACTCACAAGACACTTCAGCACAACTCACAAGACACTTCAACCCAAATTGTTTAGTAATTTATTTTTGGTGATTATTTTTTTCTTTAAAATTTTTTTCTTGTGATTGTTGATTGCATATATTGTTTAGATAAGACAGCGTCGCTTAGCTAGACTGAGTGCTGGAAATGCATCACAAGCCACCCCACAAAGAGATCCATCACCGAATGTTACATTATTAAGTTTTCCATCTGGTCATAATACAGAAAGTCCAGCATCTAATGTGATATACAGTAAGTTATGATATTTAAATGGTCATGGCATGTCCAAGGAAAAAGTAATTTTAAATTAACAATAAAAGGACATATCTAGAAATTTCATAACATTTAACATTCCTAAAATTTGTTTTACATTGCAACATAATTAGGGTTGCCAAATACACAAGTGCCCAAATGACATAAAAAAGCCAACGAAGAATAAATGAGGACATACCAAATGTATTATTAAAAGTGTCCCAAGTTCAAATCCACAATGTATATCCATAATAATCTTTTTTAAATCATTTTACTTAAGACAATAATTTATTTTTTGTTTTAAAAGTATAGTAAATTGTTTAGTAAAAGCAACTCTCTGGTAGCTCCCATAAATTGATGTATCTATGCTTTGCAAGGTATCCACCAAAACAGGGGATTCAACAAATTATAGTATGGAGGAATGCCATATGACAATAACATATATCAGTAAATGAAAATGTACTGACCAAGTTGTCAGTATTACAAACTACTACTATAATTGTAATAAAAAACCAGTGGCGGCGCCATCATTTTTTGGTCTTTGAAATAGCTAACATTCAGACATGGAGCAAACTCCAAACATTTATAAGTTTATACTTATGTTAAATAAGGATGCTTTGAAAAAAATTACAATGATTGGAGCTTGGGAACAAAAAAACCCCAAAAATTTGGCCGACACTGCCTCAAACGTGAGAGCAACATGTTGCTCTCACGTTTCATGTCAAAGATCAAAAGATGCTGGCGCGGTCACTGTAAAAAACTGAAGTATATCCTATATAAAACAATAAACATCAAAACCATTTTTAAAAATATCTTTAACATATTTTTTTTGCAAGCTACACATTGATTTAAAAATAATTTTTTGCAAACAATAAAGATTTTCTTCAAGTTACATTTGTAAATAAAATGTTTCAATAAAAAAATAATGTTCAGTGTTACAATATTACAATGCAATATTGCAGTGCCCTAACAAATAAATCTCACATCAGCCAACTTTACACAGAAGATTCTAATTTGCAATCACATCTTTATAAAACTGGTCATGGGTAAGTATCTTTAGGTTATACTTTGTGGTAATGATGACCTTTACAGAATCAACTAAAAGTCTTTTGCTTTTCTTTGTCAATTTAGTATCAATAAAAGAATACTTTTTCAATATTTTCATTGTTTACTTGAATACAGAAAAATAATTTATAAATTTTATCCCTGAGAAGCAACTTGTATTTGGACAAGTTCTAATGGACAAGTTCTAAAAAGTAAACTTGGTTGGTTATGCATGAGTCTTTCAAATAATTCAAAAATGATTTAAAATTACATAATTGATCAATCAGTTGTACATTCTTTACAATAATGCTTTTTGTATTCAGGTATAAAATGCATGCCAGAAGATCATCAAATGTCTTGTATTTTTTTTTTTTTTTTTACTTCACCTCCTCAAGGCCGAGAAGGCCACTACAAACGAGGAGGCTACTTATTTTGTGGCTATAACCCTCTCTCAACTCTATAACTCCGAAACACGAACCTTGACGAACAAGGCCGCTGTGCGGAGAAACAAGTTGAGCGCGGTACTACCAGGGATGTGGTGGGGATCGAACTCAGAACCACTTGTTTATGAAGCGAGCGCTCTACCACTACACCACTACATACATCCAACCTAAGCTCTGAAATTTGTGTCTTTTATTTTATTTAAATACATTGAAAGCACTGACAGTCATCAAAAGGTTTAACCACTTTTCTAAATAATGAGTGCATTCTTCATACACTAACCCATGTCATAAAATAATTTAAATCTTCTTTTCCTCTTTTCTTCTTTTTCCACTATCTTCATTTTTTTTTCATCTCTGACTTTCAATGAAAGTAATTTCTTATTTATTACGCCTTTTAAAATTCCCAAGGTTGAGTGAAGAATCATAACCTCTAACACTGGTGTTTCTTTCCTTTGAACTGTTGAATATTGATCTAAAAGCAAAAAGCATGCAAAAATCAAAGGTGAAAAAAACTTATAAAAAATTCTGTAAAAATATTTCTAGTATAACAAGTGGTTTATTTATGAAAAGCATTTTCAAAACAACTCCAGCAACTCAGCATTAAATCAGCTGTGCAGGTCTTCGAGTGATAACAAAAGTGTTTGAATATCAAAGTTGCTTTGGCAGCATGTTTTGTCAGCATGCATGGCAGCATGCATGGCAGCATGTGCTTTCTACAATACTTTACCTTCCTGAGTTTTTAGGCTGAAAAAAGTACCAACTGATTTGATGACGCTGACACTTTTAGTTTTTTGTTTCTCACTGTGAACACTGTGCCCTCCAAATCAATAATTCTTTTGTTGGTGGCAAGTAACTATCACAAGTTGTACACTTTTGCCTCATTTTTCTTGCATCCTTCACCAAATCATGGATACTTACTTTAATAGTACTTTGGAAATACATAAAGTAGTGATTTTATTTTAATGTTGTTTTTGCTAGGTAAGATTATGCCAAAGCACTAGCTGACAAAAATGTACTAAAAAAATAAGTTAAAATTTTTAGTTTAAAATGAGTTTAAAAAAAGTCGTTATTAAAGAACAATGGTTTTAATTAAAAAAAGAAAAGAACATCAAAAGAACTCTAGTCTTTATACATTGTTACACATGTAGTTTTAAGATATTAGATAAAATTAGATTGAAATGTAATTATAGGATATCAAAATATATAAGAATTTTTGTAAAGGTTTTTAGTTTTGCCTATCAGACAGAGAACAAATGATCGATAAGTAGGATGTGTCCTCATTAGTAGGATGTCTGGTAGCCATAACCATAATCAAAACATCAAAACTGGATATCTGCTTTAAAAAAATATGCTGTTATCCAATAATTATGTCATAATGAGCAGTTTTTGTGAGGTATTTCTTTATTATACAAAAAGATAACTCTTGATCCACTGTCTAGTAGCCATGCATTTTATTTTTATTCGCATGAAGTTGTTTCCTCTGTCAATTAAAAAAAATTTAATCCCATATGAGCTAACCATGAACACCTTTCATGGTTAGCTCATATGGGATTAAAGGGATTACACCTCCTCAAGACAAAAATATTTTATAAAAGAAGACATAATCATAAGCATCACAGTGCTTATGATAATGTCTTCTTTTATAAAATATTTTTGTCTTACGGAGAATAGACATCATCAGAGAGCCATACATATGGTATAATGAATATAATAATAGTCCTGCAATTAAATATCCTGTACATTTTCTTTTTCCTTCTGAATATTTTCTAATCTGCTAATTTCCTTTTTTGTTCAAAATTCTTTTTAATCTACAAGTTCCTATTTTTACATTATGAAAGCGTTGATGAGATATTTTATAAATTATTTTTATAAGAAAAGTCAAGAAATGCTACTTATTAATACATCTAAAAGTTTTATAAATGGTTAGTTAATTAGTTGTTTTTGACTAAATTATAAAACTTTAGTAAATAGTGAATTTATATCTTTCTGCCCAACTTATTAACACAAAGGTCCATGATAAAGATTTTTTAAAAGATTTTTTAAAAGATTTTACTGTTCTGATTTACTTCTATTATAGTGTATTATACTTTTATTATTGTGTATTGATTGATTATGTACAATAGGACAATTTTTTTGCAAAGAAACAAAATATATATATTAACACCAACCCTCGGAATTAGGAAAAATGAGGTCAGCATATATAATATTTGCATATATAATATAATTTACCAATTATAAATGGCATATATAATATAATTTGCCGAATTCAATCTTTTTGAGGTCGGCATCTGGTTGGCAAAAAATTTTTAATACAAAGGTCTTACCATAAAACATAGAAATAAGGTCTGCAATTTTTTGCCGACCTCAAACACTTTCACGTCGGCAGTTAGGTCGCTATTGCTGAATGCCGACCCTATTTCCGAGGGTTGATTAACACTACATCTAATTCCTTTCTACACCCAAGAGCTTTTTATCTATCGAACAAGCAAAATAATCTGGAAAAAAGAGTGGCTTTAATGATAAGAAAGAAGGAAGTAGTGTTTGACAATAATTCATGCAAAATCTCAGCTTATCGAACAGAGAATGAGCCAAAAGATATAAAGTTTTGGAGTTTTTTTATCAGGAAATTTAACAATTTCAAGTCTTATTGAGCTATTAAATATCCAAACCAAACAGATAAACGATCACTGACTGCTAATTTTTATAATTATGTACATTTTTATTATGTACATAATAAAAATGTACATTTTATGTACATTTTTATTATGTACATAATAAAAATGTACATAAAATGCAACTTCAAACAGCTCCCAGGTCCAAAAGTTTACACTTCAATTGTTCGTGGATGTGTCAGCAACAATTTTAAGTATAAATGATTGGATAAATTTTGTAAGAAGTTTCTCTTGTGGCAGCTGCGGTTTAAGATCTCAAGCTTTCATCACATCATCTTTAAACTTGGACTTTAATCTTGGATGTTTTTTTTTTTTTTTTTTTTTTTTTTAACATCTTCACTTCCAACAAGGCTGCAAGCAACCACTATAAGAGTTGGAAGTTACTGGAAGAGAAAAGACTAAATCTGTAGAGCAAGATAACGATTGACTGATGACTTAAAAGATTGCAAATTATATGAATCAGGAAAGCAAGATGAAGGAAGCGAATTCCAAAGAACTGATGTTCGAGGAAAAAAACTAGAAGAATAAGAGTTTTTGAAGCACTTAGGAACAGTCACAGAAAAAGGATGAGACTTGATTGAATGGCGAGTAACACGAGAATGAATTTTAGTAGATGGCACAAGGGACGCTAGCTCTTTAGAGCAGTGCCCATTATAGTATTTGTAGAAAAGAGAAAGAGAAGCAACATTACGACGATGTGACAAAGGTTGGAGATTGGCTGCCAGAGCAGGTCTAACTATGTTTACAATTCGTTTTTGCACCTTGTCTAAAAGAGAAAGAGCATCATTAGAAGATCCACCCCAGATGTGGCAACAGTATTCCATACAGGGACGGATTTGAG